TACAGAAACTACAGGACCTGCAAACCAGATGACAGGAGAATTGAAAGAAAAGCACAAAAACTTACCTGAGGAGTTGGCTGATGGTCACACTCACACACACACACACACACACACACACACACACACACACGGAAACATTAGGTGAACTATCAGAAACTGGATGGCTAACCTTAGTGTATCAGCTTCAATCATTGTAACCTCCTTTCAGAAGGCCAGCCCTGGCCCAGGGGATCCACTGACCTGGTGGTAGGGCCTGGAGGTCACCCCGACCAGCTATTGCCCATCTGTTCAGTCTCTATAAAGGGTTTCATCTTTTAGTTGACAGGTGCTATTCCTGTGAAACTTCATGGCTTACATTTTTCTCTGTCGTCAGCTTTTCCCTTTTTCCTGGCTGGCCAACTTCCTGCATCCCTCGCCAACCCTGATTGTGCACTGGTGGGGTCCGTCAGCCTGGCCTTTGCCCTCTCACAATCTGGATCCCTCAGGGGATGTTGGAGAGCCAGTTTTGGCCCTATCCCACTCAACGCAGGAGCTGCTCCCTGGTGGCATTGCACTCCCACAGGGGAGCACCGCTGTCAGAAGCTGAGCTCATAGTTGGTGAACGCAGTGGTGGTGGTAGAGCCTCCATGGCAGTGCTAAGGATGTCTGACTGATGGCCCACCCATCCCCTGAGAGCTCCCAGACTGTGAGACCACCCCTCCCCCTCCGAGTGCATGAATTTCGTGCACTGGGCCTTTAGTGTTAGTTATAATCTAAGTTGAGGCCATGTAAGAGAAAGAGGGTAAAATATTTACTTAGCTGATTGAGAATTTAAGTTCAACGAAGGTATGGCAAATTATAATGAATACATATGCGTATATTTATGGTGATTGCCTGAGTGACCTGTGACTTAAAATTTGTTTTTTAGTGATGTCATGGAAACAGACTTTCTAAAAGATCTGAGGACAAAGCAAATTCCAGAAAACCAGTCATGTGTTCATTAAAGTATAAAAATAAAAAACTATGGAAGTGACTTGAGTTATGTTATATGATTATAGCATTTGATGGTTTATGCAAATATAAATAGCTAAACTCTATTTAGAAATGTAAAGACAGGTGTATTTTTTTCTCAGCTTATTTTTGGAAAAAGAGTGTTTTTCTCCTATACTTGGTTGCCATTGTGATGGGAATTAAGTGCAGAACACATAAAACCTGTGTTTTACATTAATGTTACTTATTTCTCACGGTTGTATGGGTATTTTAAAAAAATACTAAATACTAAAAAAGTAAATATTAAGAGATGATGAATACTTTAATGTGCTATACTTATGGTTGCTATAAAATTGATATTAAAATAAATTCAGTGCATTTAAAAAGTTTTGAATTACCTTAGCAACTTTAATATATGTGCTGTGTTTAAATTAAACTAAATTCACTAAGATTTAAGTTCTGAGTTTAATGTACCTAAACAAACATAATGATCTGACCTAATATTTCCCTGTCAGAGAATTCCATCATCTCAAGTTGATGAGCAAATTTCTATTTCTATGTCAAGAAATGGTGTCTGAAAGACTAGCAGAGATTGGCAACTGAGAGATTTAGGATGGCTGAGATTTAGAGGTGACTGGAAAGTCAGAGAAATAAATTGTGATTTGGTTTCATGAATTTTAAATTATGGCTTATTCAGACAACTGTAAAATGTTTACTAATGCACATTCTTGCTAAGAATGCAAGGGTAGCCTGGAATGGAAAGGACCTAAGATTGCAGACTGTAAACTGAAGAGCTATAACCAGGAAATTAAGAATTGTTACTAAATTGCATAGGAATAAACTAATGACATGAAATTTGAAGTCAGACAATTCTATGTTCATACCTGGATTGAGTCATTTGGAAATGATTCAACCTGACCCTATGGCGTTGAGCCAGTCACTAACATTTTTCATGTATATGCTTCTCTTGTATAAATTAGGGATAACTATCTATAGAGAATTAATTGATTATTTAAGGACTGCTCATTAAGGCTCACCCTGACTGGTGAGGAGAATAGGTAGTAAGAAGGCAAGAGTAGAAACATGGAAACCAGTTAGCAAGTAGTTGTAGTTCAAGCAAGAGATGCTGGGGCTTCGGTTAAGATTGTCATCATGCCCCAAAGTGGTCTAATTTGGGGTTTGATTAAAAAGTATCAAGGATGGCATTTGCTGGTGGATTAGATGAGAAGAGTGAGGGATGATACCAAGGTAAGTGCCTGAGCAATTGGGTGGATACAGGGGCCAGTACCTGTGTGTAGTAGAAATCAGGACTTGGATTTTGGACATGTTAAGATTGAAATGCCTCTCATACATCTTCAAGACCATTGTGTAATGATTGTATAGGTTATTTGCTGTACAAAGGGATATGGGGACTGAAGTCTTTATGGCGTCCCTGGTGTGGGGCTGCATCTATCTGGTGGAAGAACTCCTCTCTAATTCACACCAAAGTATCAGATAAGCTAGCAGAAGCTTTGGGTAACCATAGTGGACTTTCTGGGTTCTTCATACTTATGTGGTTGACAGGGATAGGGCTGTTTATAGATATAAAATAAAATAAAACTTACTGCCCACCAAAGTAACTGGCTCATGGTAGTAGGTACCAAGTGCATGCCAATTCTCTTCCTTTCCCAGTGTGCAGAGTTTTATTTCACTTATCTGTGTATCCTTCAATTCCTCACATTCGGGTTGCTTCTTGGTTAAATATCATGTTCCAATGAGGAGGTTGTTTCTCAAAAAACATGAGATATAAGTGACAACAGTAGAAAATACCAGCACTTCTTTGTGCCCTTAGAATTTCAATGTGTACGTTATACCCTATGTCAGCGGTTCTCAACCTGTGAGTCGCTACCCCTTGGGGGGGTTGAATGACCCTTTCACAGGGGTGGCCTAAGACCATTGGAAAACACAGATATGTACATTACAATTTATAACAGTAGCAAAATTACAATTATGAAGTAGCAACAAAAATAATTTTATGGTTGGGGGTCACCACAACATGAGGAACTGTATTAAAGGTTTGCGGCATTAGGAAGGTTGAGAGCCACTGCCCTGTGTAATATTTACAGGGATTTATTCCTCCACTTCTTAACATTTGTATTGAGAAAGGCATGCCAAATTGTTAGCAGTTTTGAACTCTGGAACATTGAATTACACTTGAGTACTCAGATTTCTTTTGCTAACTGATTAGGAGGTGGATAGGAGAGGAACTTTGTAGCTCTGAGGAAAAGTTGCCTCATTGTATAAAAGTGGATATTTCTCAACACTTCTCAGAATTTCTATACTGTTTTTGGTTTCTTGGGTTTCACATGGGTAGGTTTACAGCCCCTCATGTTATAACAGGAAAACATTAATTTTCCTTGAATTTCACCATAATCTCTAAATATACTTACATCGATCATCATATGAAGTGTCTAGAGGATTGAGGAAAAACATAAGATTCTTACTTTCTCATAAACAGATTCCTTTATTAATTTCTCAACAACGTGGTATCTAGCTTATTTACCACTTTCTGTCGAATATGAATGTCGGAGTCCTAAAAGACAAGATGGAAAAAATGAGACATACCTTGACCACTATGTCTACATTATATTCTCATTAGGTGTAAATGTTTACCTCTTCCTCCTTCAGATCTATGAGAGGAAAAATCTTTGTGGGAAAAATACTAGATTAAGTTTACTACAGCCTATCAAGAAATGTTTCATTATTAGTCTAAAGCTAACTGCTAAGAGATTTTTCTACTTTCCCAGATGTTCTCATTTTCTTTGGAATTCATTTCAGAAAAGAAAGAGGGGTTGCCATGGTCCTTTGCTCCTCATTCTGGTTTGTCAGGACAGTTGAATAAGAAGATTAATGGATCAAGAGACTATAATATGTGTGAGGTATGGACAGCAAACAGAGTACCAACCTGCCACTGTTCTTTTCTCAGGAAGATACAGTCTATATGCTGTGTGTGTGTGTGTGTGTGTGTGTGTGTGTGTGTCCCTACAAAAAAGTAGAGTGTGCCTTGGAAACTCCTTAGAATCATCAGATTTCTGAATGTCTTATTTAAAATAATCTTTATTATAATTCCTTACTCATTCAGACCACATGTCCTAATTTGAAAGTCAGAGTATAACTCTATTGTTAAGAAGAAATACTGAAATTCAGTATACAAAGTTTTGCCTTAAATCAAATGGGTATAATATGGTGTAAGGTTATGAGTATTGGACTCAGGTCCACAAGCCTGGGTTCCCTTTCTTTTCTATGAATTTGGCTAAACCTCTTAAACTTTGAGCATCAATTGTATCTTCTAAAATGAAGATAATAATATAAGTTGTGCTCACTCTTATATTGTACTTTATAGCTTACAAAATATCTTTCATGTATGCTAGTCAATCTTTATGAAAACTCGTGAGTTATGCAGTTTATTCCTATTTTACACAATCAGAAACTGTTTTGCAGAGATTCCTTAACCTTTCAAGATCTTGGAATAAAGAAGAGTTGGAAAGAATTATTTTATTTTATTTTATTTTATTTTGGTTAATCCTCACCCGAGGATATTTTCCCATTCATTTAGAGAGAGGAAGAGAGAGGGAAAGACAGAGAAACACTGGTGTGAGAGAGACACATGGATTGACTGTCTCCTGCACATGCCCTGACCAGGGCCCAGGCCAGGGAGGAGCCTGCAACAGAGGAGCCTGTACATGACCTTGACTAGAATTAAACCCAGAACCTTTCAGTCTGCAGGCTGACACTCTATCCACTGAGCCAAAGTAGCTAGGGCTGGAAAGAATTCTTTCAATGCTCTTAATAAGGGGACATATTTGCCTCTTCTGAAGAAATGCATAAATCTTTCACATGCATATACATGTATAGAGAAATTGATTGGCGGTTGGATATTCTACCACAAGATGTGCTGACCTAACAAACCATGCTCAAAGGGACATGCCTTTACTTTGTTCTCTAATGAACATATTCCTCCATTAATTCTCTAGTGGTTTCTAATCTACTTACCTCTACCGTCCTCATAGTCCAGAAGACTGGCACCTGGAGAACAAAGGAGAAAGAGTTCATGATTTTGCTTCTTGAAAATTATTGGGTCTTTAATAGTCTGAGAGCTAAGGTAGACATGAACTCCTGGTAGTGAATAATGATGGAAATTAATTCACTTTGTAAGAACTAGAGACTGTACCAGTAGCAGGAGTAGATGATGACAAGTGACCATGCCAGTCAACAGTTTCATTTTAGCTAGGCTAAATAATAACCAGAAGGGGCTTCAAAGTTGCTTTTCCTTCTCGGCACACCAGCACCTAGCTCCTCTTTTCCTTGTCTTACTATTTCTGGGTTATCTTTGTGTAACTTGGGCCTCTCACTGAACAGTGCCATGGAAAGCCTGCTTCACCTCTGGAACTTGGTGTTCCTTATCAATCATAATGGCCTAAGTGTGCTTATTCTTATTTTTTCTAGCTACATTAGATTCTTCTCCCAGGCCATATTGCCAAGGCACTCGTAACCATCAAATTTAGACTTTCTGCCTCATTGCCCGAGGAGTCAGCTATTTCCATAGCTTGATGTCTCCATTGTTGCTCTCAGACCACAGGCATCTGAAGAGAGCCTCAGAATTATGCAGACCTCCACTACTAACTCATTCTGTCCAAACCAATTGCTGCATAGAAGTCTCTGGTGGATTTCTCTCAGTAACTTAGAACTGCCAATACAATGGTAAACAAGACAAATTTGGTCACTGACTTATGAAAATTCCATAAATGCTTACTATCTTTCTTTTTCTCATTGGCATAAGTACTTACTTTGTTCTGAATTGTATCTTGAGCCATCCATTTCTGTGGAAGAATTAAGCAAAAATAGATCTGTTGGCTGCTTGTAAGAGAAGTTATTTCTCCTGTCCCAACTCTCCTCACTCTAAACTCCATTTCTCTCAAGGTAGCCTTTTTGATCCGATGCATGACCTCCTTTCATTGTCTCTAACCAGCCCTGTGCTTCCTATCCTTCCACACCACTTAGTCTCCAAAGGACCCTGGGACTGAGGATTAGAACTAGAGAGGGATGCAGCTGACTAGAATGAAGTAGGAAAGATATTGAGAAAAATGCTGGCCAGACCTCATGGCCTAGAAATAGGTCATTGCCTTTATGAGCCTCACCTCTGTTTCCTTGACAAGTACTATTCTATATTTGTCTATCCTTATTATCTCCCCAATTTTAAGTAACTAAAATACTAGCTAGTGATGTCTACTAGCACAGTGTCTTCTCTCTCACTTTTCTTTTCAGGTAATTTTCCTTGGAGCTCAGATAATTTTCTTTTAGAGTATTCTTCTTATTAATTAAACTCAGTCTGAAGTTTTTAGTTGACATTATTGTTGATGTCAGCTTTGGGAGTTAAAAAAGGTGGGTATATTACTAATAGGTCAGAGATTTGTTGATTCATGTATTGAAATTAATTTCCAGAATATTGGCAAAGTCTCTCTAGCTATCTGATAAGTAGAATTGAACTCAGACTACATCTTGGCATCCCTCCCTTTATGACTTTCACAGGGAATCTTCATTTTGATTCATTGTTACTCACCATTTTGCTTGAGTTGTGTCCATCTTGTTAACAAAAGAGCCAGAATAGCAAGTCCCAGTAGAGTCAGGATGATAGCCAAAGTTATTTCTGAAACAAAAACTCACCTGTATTTAGGCTCATTCACTATCAGAGACTTTTGGTCCCCTCTTACTGTTGTCACCAGATAGACACCTCCATCTGTTATCTCAACTCTTTTTTTCCTTATCTTCCTCATCTTACCCTCCTCACATTTCTTCACCTGGCCATTTGTTAGCCTTCATGAAGGTTCTTTTGCTGAGATACTGAGAACCTTGGATGCTGTGTAACCTTAGAGTATGAAAGATTTCCTCCACAACTGAGCTATTTATTCTTGCAAATGGGAGAAGGTAAGAGAGAATTATAGGTATGCAAAGCAATCCTCTGAGGTGTGCAGAAACATATTGTTTTTATTTTTATGTAATTTTAGAGTTAAACTTTAAATAGAAAACTATGCAATTTTATGTAATTTTAGATTTATTAGCTATAAAATTTTTAGATTTTCCATTTTAAAGCATATATTAGTACATTAGTTATATGTATAACATTTACAAATATACATATAGAAGAACTACATGCTAAAATAGAGAGAAAGGAAGTGAAGAAGGAAGGGAGGAGTGAATGAGTGAATGAACAAATGAACCAACAATAAATATGCCAGTGACAGCAAAAATTGCTGAAAAAAACTGAACTCTGAAAGGTAAGAAAAAACTAGTTCCACCACAATTTAGGCTACTGCAAAAAGTCAGAAGGTGAATTCACCTCAAGGTGTAATGACACACCTCCAATTGAGGCAGATTAGGCAAATGTCTACTGAATCTTTTAGGTGTTAGGTCATGTGAGAAAAATCTCCTGTCAAATCAGCCTTCAAAAATATGCTCATCATGGACCACCAAATGAACAGCAAATAATCAATTTGGCCTTTATCATGCAAGACATAATTTTGTAACGGATGTGGAATGATCCTTAGGGAAAGAAGAGATAACCAGGTGGTATACTCAGATGAAACCTCTGGAAAGTAATATTCCCTTTGACTGATGTGTGAGATGCTCTAGCTATAGAAATAATCTCCATTTATGTGAAAAAATAAGACAAATTGAGCAGATTGTAAAGTGAGCAATATTATAGGAAATGAGATAGCAGGCTAAGGAATTTTCCCGTTACTCCGAAGGATGGTTATTTTCTTTGAGCAGCTCAAACCTCATAAACCGCAGAAGAAATCAAGCTGAATTGACTCAGGCTCCCAGAGGAATCAATAAGAGTGAAAGAAGAAAACTTGAAAGAGAGCAGGCAAGAAAAATAAAACAGTTGTGTTATGGTCCCCAAAGAGAAAACTCCTGAACCAATAGTGTTGAGGAGGTCTCGAGGAGTCAGTCCATACCCAAGACAGCCATTTTCCAGGTATTGTCCTCGATGGGTTCTGTGTCATCTGGATTTCTTTGTCAGAGGGAGGTCAAGATAAAACTAACACCCCAAGCTCACTGTTTCTGAGCAGTATGAGCTTGGATGTGGGGAAAGCCCTTGCAGATGGGTGCAGAGTCACAGAGGAATTGTATGCCTCTGGTTGATCAGACCTGAGCAGGCTATAGAAGTGTGGCCTATGAAAGTTCCAGAATTTGTGTCATAACAAAGAAGTAGAACTTCAGAAAGGCAAGAGGAAAGTAAGAGGAGGTCCAAGACTCTGGAAAGATTTCAGAATACTTTGGAGGACCTTAAATTTACTCTACGTGGGCTCTGGAATAATTTTTAATTTTCTAGAGACTATGAGGGCAGAGCTTGTGGTTCATTCAGCTTTGTAATGTTTGTATCTGAGAATTCCTATAGAACAGGCACATAATAAATGTGAGACAAATTTCTATATTTATATTAAGAACTGGAGGCCTGGTGCATGAAATTCATGCATAGGGGGATATCCCTCAGCCCAGCCTGCACCCTCTCCAATCTGGAGCCCCTCAAAGGATGTCCAGCTGCCCATTTAGGCCTGATCCCACAGGGCAGTCAGACATCCCTCTCACAATGAAGGACTGCTGGCCCCCAACTGCTCACCTGCCTGCCTTCCTGATGCCCCTAACCCCTTCTGCCTGCCAGCCTGATCACCCCTAATCACTCCCCTGCCAGACTGATTGATGCCTAACTGCTCCCTTGCAGCTTGTTTGTCCCTAACTGCCCTTTCCTGCAGGTCTGGTCACCCCTAACTGCCCTCCCCTGCAAGCCTGGTCCCCTTAACTGTCCTCCCCTGCAGGCCTGGGTCCCCCTCAACTGCTCTCCCTGTAAGAGAGTGAGAATGTTGGAGCATGCTTCCAGAGAGGCCGTGGACTGTACCCAGATAGAGTTATCAGTGCTGACACCAGGCCAGGCCTTGAGATATGGTCTCATGGCCCCTTCCCAGCACATAGGCCTTCTTTCAACGGCAGAGCAGGACTGACTCTTTTGTATTATGTCTTCCATCTTGTATAAAATGTATCAATCACCCAACCCACCCTTAAAACAGCCAATAGAAATACAGAGGAAAGTAACCTAGTGTAACTGGACCCTGGCCCTCACCCCACCAATCAGAACCAGCCAACTTCAAGTGGTCTGAGCATCACCCCACCACCCAACCCTAAAAGCCTATAAAAAGACCACACTTTCAGAGCTCGGGGCTCTTTGCATTCTGTTGCTGCATTGGTAGAGGCAGGGAGACCAGACTTGAATTTGAATAAAGGCTCTTTTGTTTTTTGCATCTGACTCGGCTTCCTGGTGGTCCTTGGGGATCTTGAAATCTGGGCATAACACTCTCCAGCTGGCCATCTTGTGTCCACATGGGGGCAGGATCTTTGACCACATGAGGTATCCATCTTATGTGTTGGAGTGATGGTAAATTTGCATATTATTCTTTTATTAGATAGGATAGAGGCCTAGTGCATGGGAGGGGGCCAGCTGGTTTGCCCTGAAGGGTGTCCCGATTAGGGTTGGGGTTCTCTTGAGGGATGGGATGGCCTGGGTGAGGGAACTATGGTGGTTTTCAGGCTGGCCACGCCCCAGTGACCCAAGTGGAGGCCCTGGTATCTGGGATTTATTTATCTTCTATAATTGAAACTCTATAGCCTTAAGTGGAGGCCTGGGCCAGCCAGGGTGTGTGGAAAGCTTGGTTTCTTTCATTGTCAGGGAGACCCAAGCCTTCCTTCTGTTCTCTCTGTGGCCGCAGCCATCTTTGTTGGGTTAATTTGAAAACCCTCTCTTGATTGGCTGGTGGGTGTAGTGGAGTGATGGTTAATTTGCATATTAATATTTTATTAGATAGGATACTTCACAGCTTTATAAACTCCAATCCATCACACAAGTCCATAGGGTTGGTTATTTATTTATTTATTTATTTATTTAATCATCACCCAAGGACATTTTTCCATTCATTTTTAGAGAGAGAATGGGATGGAGAAAGACAGAGAGAGACAAACATGTGAGAGAGAGACATCAATTGGTTGCCTTTTGCAAAAAGCATGCAACCAAAGTATGTGCCCTTCACCAGAATCCAACTCGGATCCATCAGTCCATGGACTAATGCTCTATCCATTGAGCCAAACCAGCTAGGGCACCCACAGGATTACTTTAACTTAGTTGGTTTCAACTTACCCATCATCTCACTTTCTGGACCAGGCCAATATGTACCCATGCTGATGCTCAGGAGATGACCCAAGGAATGAAAGGGGCACTGTCCCTGCTCTAAGAAGAGGGTGTCCACCTCCAGAATTTGGCATTGTTAGGCTTCTTTGCATCTCTAGTATTTTTAGGTCTTTAAAAATGGTATTTTCCCAGTTTACCTTTTTTCTTGTTCTTATGGTAGGAGTTATTGCCCTTGTAATTTTTTTCATCCCAACTAGCACTATGATTTTCTTTTTTCCTAGCTATGTTGGGAGTGCTAAGTAATTTATTTAGAGCTCTGTGCATTTTTGTTTTGCATGGCTATTCATAATTTATCTGTTTTCTATCTGAAAAATTCAGACTGCTTCTTCCTCTTCTATCACATTTGTATATGTTATCTTGGGCATGTATGTGAGAAGTGATTGAGGGTGTAAACACCCGGGCTGGAGCTTTGGATTATCCAAACTCTCTGGAGGGGTGCGCCAACGTATGCCATCTCACCGGGCGCAACACCAAGTGCCATCTGGCAGCACGCTGTGCTTCCATGTGATATGTAGTCTTTCGATGCACAAGTCCAGACAAATGTATTCGTTTTTCTCTGAGAATTTGAAAATGTTTTCATTGTTCCAAACCGTGGTACAACAAAAATTCAATTTTATGTCTGCTTAGGCTCATGTAGTACTGTTGCTTTAATGTGGATATCTGGAAATGGATGTTTGTTGTTAGTCATGTGGCATTTACATTTTTAAATTACAATTGTTACTGCCAAGCTGCCACCCATTCATCATTCACCATCCTTGTAGCATCTAAGAGAATCCACAGGTTCTTATAAATCTGATTTGGAGGTTGTTATTTGAAACTGCATTTTTCAGATTATTGGTGAGTTTAGATAAATATTTTATTTTTACTGACTATTGGTATGTTCTCATCTGTTAGTCTATATGCACTGCCCCATTTTTGGTTGCTTTTTGTTAATGTATTTATTGATTTGGTGGATATTTTACACAATAAAGAAGCCCAATGTCTGCCTTGCAGGTTGCATTTTTTCCCCGAGCTTTACATATTTCTTTTAATTTTATTTTCTCTATGCAAATAAATATTTTATTCAAATATATTTCCTGGTATGTCTTTGGGATATTTTTGTCTTGCTTCAAAGACTGTTACTTTTAAAAGGTTTTTTTAAGGTCTGACATATACCACAAAACTCATTCTTTATAAAAATCTGTTGACAGTATTACAGATATCTCCCATTTTTTCCCTCTCCCCCCCATCCCAACCAACCCCCACCTCACCCCAGGCCTTCCTCATACTATTGTCTGTGTATATGGGTTATGCATACATGCCTGTATGTTCATCTCTTCCTGTACCCTGCCACCCCCACCTCCTATTGAGATCTGTTATTTTGTTCCATGCATCTATACCTCAGGACAGATTTTGTTCATCAGTTTATTT